CAGTTTCAGATCTAGTGTCCCAGGGCATCTGGTCTGGCATCCGTAATACCTCCTGGGCAGCCTGGGGTCTGAAGGACACTGGCCTCAGCTCAGGAGTGGAGTGTGGAAGGTCCAGCTTGCTGCAGTCTAGTGGTTTCTTGGTTGTTTAGTGTCAAACTCATATTGGGGACACTCAGTGATTAGTCTAATTACACTTCTTTTTGCCTCTTTTTTCTCTTTTCTATCAACAGTTCCACATGCATTGTTTCACAGATCGGTTCTTAAGTTTTTCTACAAACGAACCACAATTACTGCCTGGTATCAGCCACCAAATTATTAATTCCTAAACTAACATGAAACAAATGCCTCTGTGAAGCAGTTAAAGTATTGCAAGAATATTTATTTTGAGTGACTAAACTATACACTTCCTGTTCAGTGTTAAGGAAAATTGGTCTTTATTATTCCAGGGAAATGTCAAGATCACTAAGTATCGTAGCATTTTGACCTGTGTTATGTTGAGCAAACTCTCCACATGTTTCTCATAAAAATATACATCAGAGATGGTTTCAAACTGAACGTCAAACTTAGTTAAAGGTACAAACCTCTTCAAAGTGATTGTGAATATCAAATGGAACAATCAAATGCACATCAGCGTGAGCCACTTTTTTCTTAGGGGCTCTATCATGCCGGTGGATTTAGCAACTCTGTCATTCTAGGTGATGGAGTGAGGCTTCTGCTCTCATTAGAATGACCTCTGCGGATGCTGGGTTGGGCTTTGCAGGATCCTCCCTCTCCATCAAATTTTTTAAGTGTGTATAATCACTTATAAAAACATTTTAAAAATTGATACTCTATACCTTGCTGGACTTCTGTGATGACTACCTGGGTTATACATATGAAAGAATGTATCTAGCTGTATACTTTCCTCTAAGTTATAGTTCAATTAAATATGAATATGTATTTTCATATTCCATGGAATGTCAGCAAGAATTTTTTTTTTTAACAAAGTTCTTCCCGGTAAGAAGTTGACAAGGGAGATGTGTTTTGTAGGCCACTATTTAGTTGCTTAAAAATCTTAGTTCTCTAATCTACTAGATCCTAAGTGCAGCGTTTTGAATCTGTTTCCTTGGTATCTTTTTGAAGGACACAAAGAAAAATCAGTGCCTTCTTGGCAAAGAGATGACAGCCCCTGCCTCCCCCAAAGAGGCAGGAGTTTTTATGGGGAGGCAGGGGCGGGGGCGAAAGGAGATGGCTTTCCCCGCATCACAGTGTTTCATAAGCATACTGTTTTGTGGCTCTTGACTCATTTTGTAGTAGAGGTAAATATTAATTTCCAAAATGGATTTTGTATGTATTTCCTTGCTTTAAACATCTCCAAATGCTCAATGATACCGAGAAAGACTAATTTCAAGGACATAGACATCTTACTGTTTCTGGGTTAAACTCCAGGAAATGTAAAAGGCTTTTAGGCTTCTAAGTTATTGATATTTGTATACTTAGCAGTGATTTGATGCCTGATTTTATCTAATATCTTTTCTTTTTGAAGCAAATCCTAGGTGTCGCCCTGGTTTAGAGACAGTGGGGAGCTGAACTGCCTGGGTTCAAATCCCTGCTCCTTCACTGGCTAGTTTCTCACTCTGAGCAAGAAACTTTAAGAGGAACCTAATAATACCACATGGAGCTGTTCTGAAGATCACTTGAATTAACAAGGCACTTGGTAAAGTTATTAGGGCACAGGGTAGACAAAAAGTTAAAGATGCTTGAAGATTTTGCTGCCAATCAGTTATAACAGTAAATAATATAAAATGCTTTATTTCATGTGGAGGGATAGGATGCACAGATCATTTAATGCTTCGAGGATCCAACTAAGGGTAAGACTACTCTAGATAGTATCTAGAGAGGGGAAAGTTATCTATTCGTGTGGAAATCTTTTGATTCCATTCCTAGTCAGGTATCTTAATTACTTAGAAGCTTTAGTATCTAACAGAATGAGGACAGCATAAAAACTTTTAAAAAATTATCAGGCTGGGCATATCAATATTTATTGAAATACTGAAAAAAAATCCATTTTGTCGAGAAATTCCTGGCAAGAACTGACATGACAATATGTATTTCACTGATACAGTAAGAAAACGCCAACAAGTAACCGACTTCACACTCTAAACATTGCATGGATTCAGGTCCAAGGTAGCTGCAGATCTGTAATACAAATGTTCAGACATTACAGATTGTCTGTTTACAAACATAGACCAACTATAATAAACCACGCTAAGCCAAAAATGTTTATATTTGAGTCTGCTTTTACTAATAAATCTGTAATTGATAAGGCAGTTGCTAAGGAAATGTCTCGTGACAGACTGGTTAACAACGAGCACTAGAGAAATTTCATTTGCCAACTTTGGACGGGCCACAGACGTTGGCTGTGGTGCTTTCTTGTTTATCAACTTATGTTCTTGATTCAGCAGGAGTGTGGATGTAACTCTCCGTGTTGCCCATCTTTCTAACTATACTTAGGATGGAATTTGCTAGGTTAACAACATACCAGTAATTGAATTTTCTTAGGTTTAATTTTCAGTGGAGAGTACTACTGTATTATTTAAAATAAGAAAACACGGGCTTTCAGAATCAATGTATTCAGGGTTTTTTTTTGCAGTGTTAAAGACCCTCCAATTACCTACCCCACCAATCTCATGATTGCCGCCACCCATGTTCCACAACCAGGATGCAACCATTTCAGCAACTGTTAACAACACCCATTCCTCTCCACATGTCTTCTTAGCCAACTTGGTTTTTAAGTGGGGAGAGTAAGGATGCTGCCAGTCTATTTAATGCTTTGGACATTGACTCTGATCAGCTGTTTTTCATTGTCCTTTGAGCTGTGATGACAGGTGACTGAGCCTTTGCATGAGGAGCTGTGGACATTCAGCTTAGCAAATGTGTACCCTTCACGTGGACGAATATTAGAGGTGATTAAAAAAATAATAAAATAATCCTTTTTGTACACACAGAAGTAGTAACTAATATCTTTGGTATACAACTTACAACGCTTGTAAAGGAAACCAGGGAAGACTCTACCCTTGTTAAATTTACTTGAAAACAGAGGAAACTACAAGTCACATAATTTACAATAGATATTAAATAAACTACAGTAAGAATTATGAAGATTTACAGACATTTAATCAAGTGAATGATTTTAATTCATTAAGACCCTTCTCTGTCCCTGAACTATGTTCTGCTAACTTGAAGACATGCTACAGTAAACACATATATTTGGTTTCTTCAGTCTTGGCTATATCTTATACAAAGGTGAAACCAAGGAACAATAAATTAGCATCATAATTGTCTACAGTTGAAACTATGATATACAATATAAATAAACTATTCAAAAGCCTGAAACATTTATGAAAAAATTAAGGAACTAGGAGATACTTTTAGTTTTTACAGTTTTTACAAGTGATTGTGCCGCTGATAATCTCAAAAAAATCAAAGTCTAAATGAGATTCCCGTTGTTGATTTTAGTGTCTCACGACATACAATAATTAAGTACTGTTAAAAATAATTACCAATCAGAAAAATAACATTAAGGAAATTACTGCTTTAGCTATTTTGTAATATCATAGTTTCCCCCCCTCACCCCACAGGACCTAAAGAATGTAAACACTATCTTTTATTTGACTTGAAAGTATTAATACTTTATTTTAGACAAATGTTGATCCACATCTGCACAGCTACCTCTCAGAATTGTGAAATAAGGCAAGACTTCCATACCTGTGGCATTACATGTCAATAATACTGCTATCGTTGTTTGGAGAGTTTGTTTTGCAATTCTTTGTCCTTCAATATTTGTTCTAGAGCAGACTTTGGTCTATGACTCAGAAAGGTCAGTATCACTCTCTTCCTTTCCCTTTTGGGGAAGATTGGAATTGCTTTAGTATCTTTCCAGTCCATATGTAGATTCGAATCACTGTTGCCATTCTACGTTTAGGGGATGTTCAACTGCAATAAGCAGGAGATTTGAGGCAATTTATTAGCTCACCTTTTTCTTTCTTTTTGAATAGCTTAACATGCTTCAGTTTTATTTTAAACCACTTAGCACTGTGACTATTTGACATCCCAGTAAGATATGTTTCAGGTTTTATTTTCAAATGAACTACAAACTTTGATGGTTCAAAAGATGGATGTACCCTAACAAGCCTTTTGGCAAGAAATTTTTATGAAATCCGACAATGCCAAAGCCACATTTCAGTAACAATAGCAGAAATAAGGTGTAGCTTGCTTTAGCTATGGAGCATTTGCTTTAAATTTGTAGTCCTTTCCCTTAATATTAATTAATGCTTATATAAGATCAGAAGAGGGATACTGTCTGTTTTTTTTTTTTTAACATGAACACATGACAAAACAAACCAGAACATATTTCAAATGGCAAGCTAACATATTGTAGACTGTTCTTATTAGCTGTTTGCTGGTCTAAGACATAGACATTCAAAATTAGGCTTTTCATGATTTGGTGGAGCTACTAGTGGGTGTGGCTGAGCACAAATCCGTAAGGACAGATTCCGTGATCATAGGACAGAAGGTGCTGGGTCCTTGAAAGGAAGAGGGAAGGGCTATTACAGGTGCAGCCGATGGATTTTTTGAGTTGTTTTAGTTCAGCTTTACCATGGAGGCATTCTGTAAGCTCAAATCCCCTGCTGTATAAGCCTAATTAATAACACAGATCAGTTCCTAAATTTCTTCACAGCGGAGATCAGTTTAAATATACAAGAATTGTTCTGTCCATTTTTATTCCGATATGGGGTTGGTATCCATCTGTGAGTTCAATCCACTCCGTTACAATGTCTTTTATATGGAATCCTTTGGGGATGTGAAGCCTTTGATTCACAGTTTGCAATACAAATACCCTGATACATCATTCATTTGCTATTAAGTATTTGATTATTATGCCTTTTTAAACTCAATATCTTTAAACCAAGTTTTTAATTAGTGTTGCTTGGAGCAGTTCAGAGTATTTTTTTTTTTCCTTTTCTTCCTGTTCTTCTTTTCTCCCCCCACCAATCTCTTTTTGTTTTGAAAGCAGAGCTTTTAGGGGTTGGAACCTAAGCTCTTTTTGCATGCAACATTTCAATAAGGAGGTTATTATAGGGCACATCCCCGTTCAGGTGCTTATAGTAGAGGTATTCTTCAGCCTGCATGCTGATGGCCCGGATTTCGGGTAGTCGAAGAAGTAGCTGCCCGAATTTCTCTGTTTGCTGTGGGTAGTTGCACATAGTATAGTCCAGCAGGGCGGCATTGACTTGTTCCTGGACACCTTCTACCAGCTGGAAGTTCTCAAGGTTTTTGACATCTGGATTTAAAAAACAAACAAAAAAACACCATGATATTTTAATGGAATTTTAATTCCTGTTTACTACAGCAGTGTGTTCAATTAATGGATGTATTTCCTCCTGACATAAAGCATACTTTATATGCTGCTGAATATTCAGTAAGCCCCACTCACCAAGCTTCCTGGGAAAAGGATCACAAAAGAGCTTTAGAAGAATGTCTTGTTGAAATTCTGCATATACCTCAAATCAATTAGACACCAATGGATTTTGAGCAAGGTCAACTCTTTTCATATCTTACAAAAGGAAAGGTTTGAGGATTCCTAAAGTAGAGGGATCATAATATATTGCCAGCAAATGAGTCCCTAGAGAAAGACCTATCTTAACCCAGTATATTACACAATTCATATAATTCTGTATTAATTTTTCTGACCCAAGGTGAAATCTGTGTCCAGGGTATGATGTAGTTAATTCTAATAAAAAGTGACAGCGTTCTTGTTTCTGTTTGACATTTTCTAAATGATTCTGAAAGCCTTTGACTTGTCAAGCCTATGCTAATGAACCATCTGGTACACTCCAGTGACTGGCAACAGAATATTCGCTACTGAGAACTCTCTAAAATATATATCTCAGTGACTAATGATCTTTATCAAATGAAAGCCTTGTCCTTTAGGCAGAATACGCTCCAGGATGGCCGGTGCCCTTTAACCTGAATGTGGTTTGAACGTCTGATACTTTATTCCCCTGCCCCCTTTTTTTCCTGGTCTTGGGTCACTCATACGGAGAAGATGGACATGGGCAATTCATGCAGCCTAACTCCTGGTGATCATCCAGTTGTTTTAAGGCATCTGCCCTAGAGGTCCTTATAAATATTGAATAAGGGAGAAATATAGAGTCAAAAAAAGACAGACTGACATACAAATACATACACAGACAATGAACAACGGAAAATGGTGATGTTGGAATTTCTCTTCTGGAGTTTATTTATGTTAACTACAACTTTTATATAATGTGTATATAGAAGTCTCTGGAAAAAAATATATAGATAAGTGTGTTTACATACGTCCATGCTAAGAAAGTAAACAGATGCAGCACCCCTCCAGCCCTGTTTTATTTTCTAATTGGACAAAAATAAATAAGAATGATTCTGAAGAAAGCCACATAATACTATGATTAAAAGGTTAAATGTACTAAACTCAGTTACCAGTTACCATAGTAACTAATACCCAATACTTCTGGCACTGAACTTGGCTGTTAAACTTAGCCTGTACATATGTGCACGTCCATTTTGGTATCTCTCAATCCTCTTAAAATAAGGTTACTTACTTGCCTTGGGGGGGGTGGGAGATAGGCAGAATGGGTGAAGGGATGTGGGAGATACAGGCTGCCAGTTATGGAATGACTAAGTCACATGAATAAAGGGCACAGCGTAGGAAACATGGTCAGTGATATTGCACTAGTGTTGTGAAAGATGGCAGCTACGTTTGGGGTGGGCCCAGCATGACATACAGAGAAGTTCAATCACTACGTTGTATACCTGAAACCAATGAAACACTGTGTGTCAACTCTACTCAAATAAAGAGTAAAAACAAACAAAAACAAAACAAAACAAAACAAAAAGGTTACCTTACATTTGCTGTTTAAATGTGTCTGGGATGATTTTAGCGTTTCTATTTTGAGCCGTAACTTCACATTAAACATGCTTCCCCCTCCTCATCCTCCAAGTCTCTGCCCCAAATTAAAAACAGTGAGGAATAAGTACTGAAATAGGTACATAGTGTGAGCGCTGGATACCACATGTATTTCAAAGTGAGATGGGAGAATAAAAAAAATTGATTATTTATTAGTGATATGTACCAACAGATAAATGCTACACTATTAGGCGCTGTGTCTTCTTACGGCGTTGAAACTGGTAGGCAAGTTGTTGCCCACTTGACATTTTATGTATGTCCTACTTTACAGTTAATAAAGCATTTTCCATCTGATTTAAGACATTTTAAAAATGTTCTTAAATTATTATTATTATTATTATTTAAAGATTTTATTTATTTATTTGACAGAGAGAGACACAGAGAGAGAGGGAACACAAGCAGGGGGAGTGGGAGAGGGAGAAACAGGCTTCCCGCGGAGCAGGGAGCTCGATGTGGGACTCGATCCCAGGACCCTGGGATCATGACCTGAGCCAAAGGCAGATGCTTAACGACTGAGCCACCCAGGCGCCCCCAAAATGATCTTAAATTATTTAAAAAGACTGATACATTTAGTTACATTTGGTTCAAAATTATAAAATGTCAACAACTGGAAATACCACTGATATTCTCTAGCTGGGTTCGGGACAGAAGAATTTACACTCGTCATGCTTTGTCCTCTGCGGTGCACGTTCTCCTTTCAAGGGCCCACACTCTGGTGATGTGTGTGGGTCCTTCATAAAGGATTACAGTAGAAAGCTAGTATCATTTAAAAATAGTTCGATTTTTGGCAAATTTCTCAGTGCTTTCTCTTTTTACCTTCATCCAACTTAGGAGATAGAATTCACCTTTCTCTTTTACATACGACTAGGAAGTTGAAAAAGAAAACAAGCCACTTTCAGTGTTATAATGATCTAAACACAAGTATAAAAAAAAACTGAAATGGAGCATTATTTTATGCTACAATGAAATATTCTCACAAGCAAGGAAATCTAACAAGAGTAATAGAGGTTAATAGGGAGGATGTAGGAATTTGCACAGTATAAAAATGTAAGATAAATTAATAAAAGTCTTTTTAGGAAGTTGTTTTTGAAACTTTCTTTTTCTTGATAAATGTATTTTTTGAGACCTAGGTTCTACCTTCTGTGATAAATTATGCCACTCTGTTAAGAAAAAAAAATCTATTAAAAAACATAAAACAAAAAGAATAGATCATTAGTCCTGGCTTATGTGTTTACTATTATCACAGAATGATCATTTGAAGTCTCCAGATTAGCATGTGCTGGATAATTTCTATAAATACTGATCCAAACTGGTACCTTTGTTCCAAAAGTTTAAAAATATATGCCATTTTCCTTCTGAAGGAAAATATACAGGTTTCCCATACTATGGCCATTTCTATAATCTTTCTCTAAAGTCCATCAGAGTTGAATTCATATGACTGAATTAATTTTCCCATTAAGCCATTTCTAAGAATTTCTCATTAAGTCTAACAAAACTTATGCTAATTGCCCCAAAGGTACTTATTGAATGTCTATTTTGTTTCTGTGTCTATAGAGATAATTTATAATTTGGTATCAATGATCCTGATATTTAAACTATGTAAGGTTAAAAAAAAAAAAGAAAGAAAGAACAAGATTTTTATGGAATTACTCTCATTTACTGACCAAGTAGTTCCTGGATCATTGCTCTGCTGGTTGACTCTACTTTCAGCTAGCAATTCCTCTCACAGCATTTTGCATTGCTTTAGTAACCATCTGTTTCCCTAGTAGACTGTAAGCATCTTGGCGTGAGGACTCTGTATTAGTCAAAGCATCTCCAGAGAATTCTCCAATTAATGTTTGCTTTATATTATTGATGTATTTGTCCAAGATTGATATCACTGTGATATTACCTATTACATTTAGCTGTTAACTATCGTATAAGCCAATTTCCTTTCTTTTCCTAATTTGAAACTGGCTTTCAAAAATTGATTTATATAATAGATTTCTCCCTGAAATAAAGTATTTAAAATGTGACAGTGTTTTCTGGCTAAAGAATCCTGTGTGAATCCTGTGGTCTAAATAATCAAGTCTTAATTTATATGTTTTGCCAATGAGGATTTTCACTGGTCAGTTTTGCTTTAAGGGAAATGTGCCCACGTCCTCATTCCGATCTGGAATAGGGTCCCTGAGCTCCTACATTTCTTGCATCTCTGCGCTGAGAGGCAGACCATAGTTTCTCTGCTATGGTCGAGATGGTTCACAAGGACCTAAAAGCAACAGAGAAGATGAGTGCCAAAATACAGGTGACACACCTCTCAGAAGACTCAGAATTTTCTCTTTTTGTAGTTCATTTGTATTTACTTTTTGGGAAAAGTCCAGAAACTTAAGTGTGCTCCAACAATACTCATGGAATTCTTTTTTTTTTTTTAAGATTTATTGATTGATTGATTGAGAGCGAAAGTGGGGGGAGGGGTAGAAGGAGAAGGAAGGAGAGAATCTCAAGTAGACTGAGCTGAACACAGATCCCAATGAGGGGTGTGATCTCACAACCCTGAGATCATGACCTGAGCCCAAATCAAGTGTCAGATGCTTAACTGACTAAGTCACCCAGGCGCCCCATGGAATTCACGTCCTTTTGTGAAAATTCATATATGAAATACATTTAGAATCTTAAGCATTTTCTCTGGGATGTTCTTCCTGTAAATCAAGTTCTATTCCACATTAAGTAATGAAAGGGGGCTGGCATACTTGGGAGTCTAAATTCATCTATAACAGGACTCTCTAACACCAAAACTTCATGAATGAACTGATATTAAATTACATGAGAAAACAAAATTTGGAAAATTATTACATATTCTGGAGTCCTCAGAAATAATATATTTTTGCGATGTGCTGTTCAGTTCCTGTATAAATACCACTGTACCATATTTGGATGGTAGAAGTGGGGAGATTGACAGGAGACCAAAATTCCCATCAGTCCTTCTGTGGTATCTTATGCTGGATCTCAAAGTCTCCTGCATTTGGCCTTCTATGTTCTCCTTTGAGATTTATAAGCTTCCTTTTAATACAATTTAAAAATACAAGTTAATGAACTCTATCATTGCAAATTCAGAGTTGGAAATTACATGTAAACAGACAAGAGGCATCCCCAACACTTTTTCTATCACCTTTAAATTTTGATGACTGGCAAAAGCATTTTGTGCTTCTCCTCTAAGTATCAATCTCTTATCATCTATTCTACTTTATTCACTCAGGGACTAATTACCAACTTTTATATGAAGCAGCATTACGATAAGCTCACAATGGCATGCTCAGATTTTTTCCATCCTTATTGGAAAGTAAACCCTTAGG